CCTATAGATCTCACGCTCCATTTTTCCCTCATTCGTGAACAAGACCCCAAGATACTTGAACTCCTCCACTTGGGGTAGGACCTCCTCCCTGACCCGGAGAGGGCACTCTACCCTTTTCCGGCTCAAGACCATGGCCTCGGATTTGGAGGAACTGATCCTCATCCCGGCCGCGTCGCACTCGGCTGCGAACCGCTCCAGTGAAAGTTGTAGATCTCGATCTGATGAAGCCAACAGGACCACATCATCTGCAAAAAGCAGAGAAGCAATCCTAAGGCCACCAAAACGGATCCCCTCAACACCTTGGCTGCGCCTAGAAATTCTGTCCATAAAAGTTATGAACAGAATCGGTGACAAAGGGCAACCTTGGTGGAGTCCAACTCTCACCGGGAACAAACAGAGTAATATTGTGTATGTTGTTCAGTGTCAGGAGGGTGATCAGTCTTACATCGGGGAAACTAAACAGCCACTGGCCAAAAGGATGGACCAGCACAGAAGATCAACATCATCAGGCCAGGACTCTGCGGTCTACACTCATCTCCAGGTCAGAGGTCACTCTTTCAAGGATGAAGATGTTCACATCCTGGACAGAGAGGAACGATGGTTTGAGAGAGGAGTAAAGGAGGCCATCTTTGTGAAAAGAAACCGTCCATCATTAAACAGGGGTGGAGCCTCCAGGTTCAACTGTCCCCCTCTTACAATGCTGTGATTGCTAGTATCACTCAGCCCTCTGTGAACAGTAAACAGCCATCAGGTGCTAATGATCCATTGTTAGGCTGATGGTCCTTCTTGAGCATGTGATCAGCTGGTTTTGGTTGTCAGCAGCAAAACTGGTTGATCCACTCTGAGAAGGTGCTATTTAAGAGACTGAGCTGAATACAGCACCTCAGACTGAGGAAGTCTCTCGGATGAGAGACGAAACGTTTCTACATTTTTTTGTTTTGTTTTGTTGAATGTCCAGAGGACCAGATTGAACTTTTTTAGATTTTTCTACCTGGATTATTGAGCAGCATCAGGACCTAAAGTTTAGAGTTTAAAACTGCCGGGAGGATTCAGGGATTAGGAGCATCTAGTTTGGTGAGCAGACGGTGGGCTACTGGGACGACGGGACTTTAATCACTTGAATACTCCTAATTACTGTTTTTAATAAATGTTCTGCTCTGCAGTGGAGTCGGGTCGGTACCAGACGAGCTCCAAACTCACACAGGAAGCAGGTGGGAAATATTTCGTCTTTATTCTTTGAAACACTGTAACGTTTGTTGAGCAGGTCATTTTTCTGCTCTGCTCTGAAACTGTGACGTGTTGTTGAATGCTAGAAGCAGAGGAGCGTCCAGAACCAGAACCACAGACTGAGGCGGTCAGACCCACAGAGGACCTTCAGGAGAATGACGGTGAAAACAACCAGAACACGTCTCCTCACAGAAATGTCCACTTTTCCTTAAGAAGTGTCCCCACATCATGAAGCTGCCACCACCGTGCTTCACTGTAGGGGCGGTGTTATCACGATGAGACGTGGTAGATTCGCCTCAGTCTCGATGTTTGGCTCAGCTGATCTTAGCTCCGTCTTCCACGAGTTAAAGTGAGAAATTCAACCTGTCCCGTTTTTGTTCTTTAACGTTTTTACCTTTTTTCATTAAAACCATCTTAAAAGCAAAATAAAGTCCAGAAGAACCCACCACTGGAGTCCACAAGCCGAGTCCATAGACACAAACTAAAATAATTAAACTTATATTCACGCACAAAATTCTGTTGAAGCCCCGCCCACTTTCTGTAAAACTAAAACTTGTTTTGCTCCGAACCAACAAGAGCTCATCTTTTGTACTGGTTGACTCAAACGCCTACAGGGCTCATTCTGCACCGATTAAACGTTTGATTTAATCAGCACGTTAACAGATTTGATCTGAAATAAAACTTTTACGTTTGTAAAAATTATAAAAATCTGTGTCGTGTGTGTGACAGGACGAACAGAGAAACAGGCTGAGGAGCTGAAAGAAAAAGGTAAAATCAGATTGACGCATCTTTATTGCTGTGAGGATGTTTATTTTATTTGATCTTCTCCTTCGTTCCCTCGTCTGCAGTAAAGAAGAAAAAAACAAAACTTATGAACAAGTTGGATAAAACCATTAAAGCAGAAATCGATGCAGCAGAGAAGCTTCGTAAAAAGGTTTGATCATCCCACAAATAAAACCTTTTATCCAGCCGGCTGTTTGTTTCCTCATGAACTGACTTCTCTCATCAGGGGAAGCTGGATGAGGCTCTGAAAGCGTTTGATTCCCTGGTGCGACAGTATCCGCTTAGCCCCCGCGCTCGCTATGGCAAAGCCCAGGTACATTACAGAACTGCTGAGTCACGGTGTTAAACTGCTGAGTCATAGCAAGTTGATCGACGGTACCGTGTTGCCAACAGGCAGAGGACGATGGGGCGGAGAAGCAGCGCAGCAACGACCTGCTGCAGCAAGCCATCAACACCTACGGAGAGGTCGCCGAGCTGCCCGATGTGACCTCTGACCTCCTGAGAGCTGCTCTGAAACGACGAGCTGAAAGGCAACAGTTCCTCGGTAACAAAACGGATTCTGACCTGAGTTCGCACATCCTGTACAAACCTGCAGTTTTAGTCTAAATGTATATAATGTCTAAAAGTGCTCTGAGACCTCACCCCTGTGGGATGCCACTTATGATAAACAGCAGGTTTATTATCAAAATGTGACGTTTAAATCTTTATAAAGATAAACATGAGTTATGAATGTTTAATGAAACAAAGTAGTCTGAGAACACACTCTTGTGGGACGCCACTTTTCATAAACAATAGGTTTATTTGTATGTGAAGTTTAAATCTTTATAAAGATAATTATGCATTACTAATGTTTAATAAAACAATGTGGTCTGACAACTTGTCCCTGTGGGATGCCACATCTAATAAACGACAGGTTTATTATCAGAATGTGAGGTTTAAATCTTAAAGATCTTTAGAAATCATTACTGTAAAACTACATCAAACAGCTTTTCTGTAGAATAACTTTTAGTTTGGGCTGTTTTCCTCTCAGGTCGAATGCGAGGGTCTCTGGCCACGCTGCAGAGACTCGTTCAGGTTTTTCCGGAAGACGTCGGCCTGAAGAACGACCTGGGCGTTGCCCACCTGTTGCTAGGCGACAACAAGGGCGCCAAGCGGGTCTTTGAAGAGGTGTGAGCTCGTCGGCTGGTTTAACGAACACAAACTGTGCCTTCGTGAGACGAGTCATGTTTTATGTTGAATATTTGTTCTGTCCTCTGATTGGCTGTCTGCCCCTTATGCCCTGCCCACTTCAGATACTGACCGTTGCCCCTGACAACGGCTTTGCTAAAGTTCACTACGGCTTCATCCTGAAGGCGGAAAACAAGATCTCAGAGAGCATACCGTACCTGAGGGTGGGTAAACAACAACGTTTGTGTGTTTGTTTACAGGAAGTCAGTTTTTAATGCATTTAAAATAAATTCAATTCAGTTTATTTATAAAGCACCAAATCACAACAAAGTTGTCTCAGGGACTTTACAGGAACATTCACATAAAAGCCAGTTAGTAAAGTTCTCTATCTAAGGAATCCAGCAGACAAGTTGAATCTTGGCTTCGTTGCAGTCTCCCATCCTGAGCAAGCACAGTGGAGACAGTGGGAAGAAAAACTCCCTTTAACAGGAAGAAACCTCCAGCAGAACCAGCTCAGGACAAGAGACCATCTGCTTTGACCGGCTGGTTGAGAGGACAGGAAGGAGAGACAGACGAACATAGAATGGTAGGTCCAGGTCCAGATTTAGGTCCAGGTCCAGATTTAGGTCCAGATATAGTTCCAGGTGTACCTGAAAGACAAAAACACATGTTAATGATAGAAAAAATAATTACAAATACAAAACAGGTTGAGCAGAGTAAGTAAAGACAGCAGCAGAGTGAAAAGTGTGGTCAGTTTGTCCTCCAGCAGTCTAAGCCTATAGCAGCAGAACTAAGGGACAGCTCAGGAAACCCAAGCCGACCCTAACTATAGGATTTAGCAAAAAGGAAAGTCTCAAGTCTAGTTTTAAAACTGAATAATGTGTCAGACTCACGGACAGGAACTGGAAGTTGGTTCCACAAGAGAGGAGCCTGAGAACTGAAAGATCTTCCTCCCATTCTGGTTTTGTAAATTCTAGGAACCACAAGTAAACCTGCAGTCTGAGAGTGAAGTGCTCTGTTAGGAAAATATGGAACAATAAGATCTGTAATATAAGATGGAGCTAGGTTGTTGAGAGCTTTGTAGGTTAGAAGTAAGATTTTTAATTCTATTCTGGATTTGACAGGGAGTCAATGGAGAGAAACTAAAACTGGAGAGAGATGATCTCTCCCAGTAACTCCAGTTAAGACTCTGGCAGCAGCATTTTGGATCAACTGAAGACGTTTTAAAGAAGTATTTGGACACCCAGATAATAAACCATTGCAATAGTCCAGTCTAGACGTGACAAATGCATGGACCAGTTTTTCTGCATCATCTTTAGATCAGATGTTTCTAATGTTAGTGATATTACGCAGGTGGAAGAAGGAGGTTCTAGTAACGTTTTTAATGTGGGGGATAAAAGACATGTCCTGATCAAAAATAACACCAAGATTTTTAACATTAGAGCTGGAGGACAGATTAATGCATCTAAGGAGGGAGAAAGACTGAAACATTCATTCCTAAGGTGCTCAGGTCCAAAAACCAAAACCTCAGTCTTGTCTGTTCAACAGGAGAAAATTAAGGGTCATCCAGGTTTTTATGTCTTTAAGACATGCTTGTAGTCTAAGTAGCTGATTGGATTCATTGGGTTTAATGGACAAATATAATTGTGTATCATCAGCATAACAATGAACATTTATCCCATGTTGTTTAATAACTTTACCTAATGGAAGAATATATAAAGTAAAGAGTATTGGTCCAAGCACTGAGCCCTGAGGAACCCCATGACTGACTTTGGTGTATGAAGAAGATTTAACAAGTGGCTTTTCAGATTTCCATTTTGAATGAGATAAATCAAATTTGTCTTTTATGTTTAATATTTTAAGCTTTTCACAAATTTCAAAAAAGCAAATTTTACTTTTGAAGTACAATTTCTGACATCTTCAGGAAGAAATTTGTCTTTTTAAAGAAGTATTTATGTTCCTTGTGCTCACATTGTTAAAATATCTAAATAAATATTTACAGTAATTTAGATGTCTGTAAATAATTTAGGAGGTTTTGTGAAGATTGTGTTTAAACCCGCGACACGCTGCAGTAACACGGCAGTGTTTGAAGTAAAGGTGTGAGAGTAGAAATACTTCCAGTATTTCTTCAGTCTGGTCTGATCTTCAGGAGGAGCTCCTGGTGACGCTCCGCAGAATAAAGCTGCTCTCCGCTCCGTGTCTCCGCAGGAAGGTCTGGAGTCCGGCGAGCCGGGGACGGACGACGGGCGGTTCTACTTCCACCTGGGTGACGCTCTGCAGAGAGTCGGAGACGACAGCGTGAGCGTCGACGGAGTGAAAAATGTTTTCTCACGATCAAAGACTCGGCTTCAAAACTTTACCTGTTAGGCTTTTATTCTGAAAGAACTGCAGATTCTACTGGACCAGAACCGCTCTGCTGTTCTGGGTTCTGACCACCAGGTGGTGATAAAGAGTTCATGAGCTCCAGAACCGTTTATTTAGTCCTGGTCAGTTCCAGGGTTTGGGAACATGTTGACCCTCCTGCTGCCCTCGGGTCAAACCGACCCACAGGGTCTTAATCCGGACCTGAGACCTGGGGGGTCGTTTGACCCCAGGGCAGCAGGAGGTTCTAACAGATCTGCGTCTTAAACTTAGTCTGAATTAGTCTCTTGAACAAAAACAGCTGCTTCCGTCGTGTCATCACTTTTTAACCAGGAACTGTGTCCGGCCCCGGACCCACCAGAACCTTCAGCATCAGAACCTTCAGCATCAGAACCTCAGCGGTTTTCTGTAGGACTTGATCAGTCTCTCTCGTGGTTGTCCTGACGGGCCCAGTGTGGGCTCTCTGGTCAGATCGATGGTTCTGTTCGAGCTGAAGTCAACACTGGCCCAAAGGCGCCGCTGAACAGAACCAAGACTGTGGTCCAGAATGTCAACAAAGACGAACTGGACTCAACCTTCAGGGGCAGTTTTTCAAACCCAGATCAGTTTTATGTCCTAAAACTGAACCGAAGCACGCGCGTCGTTGTTCTGAGGTTCTGGTGTGGGTCTGATGGGCCCGTGTTCTGTCCGGCAGGCGTATCACTGGTACGAGCTGGGCCACAGACGGGGACACTTCGCCTCAGTGTGGCAGAGGTCTCTGTACAACGTGGATGGACTGAAGGCTCAGCCCTGGTGGACGCCCAAAGAGACGGGATACTCGGACCTGGTGAAGGTTGGTTTTTGCACCGGCTCGTGTTCGGTCCGGCTCCATCGGGACCGGTTCTGATCCGGTGTGATGTGTTCAGATGCTGGAGAGGAACTGGAAGACCATCAGGGACGAGGCTCTGGCTGTGATGGACCGGGACAGTGGACACTTCGTCCCCGAAGAGGAGAACCTCAGAGAGAAAGGGGACTGGGGCCAGTACACGCTCTGGCAACAAGGTGAAGCCTCCGGGCCCAACAGAACCGAAGGTTTGGCCCATTTGGGTTGGTACTGATCTTTTTCTGTTTGTTCTCAGGGAGGAGGGTAGGGACGGCCTGTCAGGGGGTCCCAAAGACCTGCGCCCTCATAGACCGGTTCCCCGAGGCCACGGGCTGCAAGAGAGGACAGGTACAGGAACCAGAGTCCACTGAAAGCCCAAAACCTGGATGTTCTGTGAACTTTCATCATTTCAGACTGAAATGAGATGAGCTCACGTGAAAATCACTCTCCCTCCACTCCCTCCCGAGGGTTCTGTCGACCCCGCCCACATCAGAGATGTTTGGGTCTCTAAACTGACTGGAGGTCAGATTCAGGCCCACATGAACCTTAATGACCCTCAGGAGGGAGGGGAAGGAGCAGGACTTCTGTGAGTTCGGCTCATCACAGTTACAAACAGCTAAAGATGTCCAGATGAGCCTTCAGCTGTCTTAACGTTCTGATCCTGGTCTGGGTCCAGATAAAGTTCTCGGTGATGCAGCCAGGAACCCACGTGTGGCCCCACACTGGACCCACAAACTGCAGACTGAGGATCCACCTGGGCCTCGTGATCCCCAAACCGGGCTGCAGGATCCGCTGCACTAACCAGACCAGGTGAACCTGCTCAGTGTGCTGCTTTAGCTGTTAGTCGATAAAAGGTTCGGCTCGTCTGGGTTCTGTTAGGACTTGAAACATTCATGTCTCTTCAGTTCCTTCATAAACTTTCTTTAAAATCTGCTTCGGCTGCTGCTCTGCCTTTATCTTCCTATGCGGCTTTGGCTACTTTTAGCTACAGTTTTGCTACTTTTAGCTACTATCTGGCTAATTTTAGCTTTTAGTATAAATAGTTAAACTACTTATAGCTAGCCTTTAGATAGTTTTAGTCAGTTTTGATACTTTTCACTTTTATGTTTGCATTTAGCTTCTGGCTAGCCTTTTGCTGTTTTAGCTATAATTTTCTACTTGTATGTTTTTGTTAGTCTTCTGCTCCGTTCAGCTTTCAACTAGTGTTTGCTACTTTTAGCTTTAGGATAACATGTTGCTGCTTCTAGCCTGTGTATAGCTTTTAGCTACTGTTTGCCTAAATTTAGCTTTTAGATATCCTTTAGCTACATATACCTAGCCTTTGATAGTTTTAGCTTTTAGCTAGAATTTTGATACTTTTAGTTTTCTACTTTTAACTTGTTAGCCTTTTGCTGCTTTAGCTTATAGCTAGCCGTTTACTGGGGGGTTGGTTAGCTTAGCACCACGTTGGGGGTCTCCTTGAATAATGTTAGGTGAAACACTGGTTTGTAGCCTTTGTGTGAACGTTGATCCAGTACCTTTGTGTGAACGTTGATCCA